ATCTCCCCTACTCCAGGCACCCCTGTTTCCCTTCTCTAGGGGCTGCTCCTGTTTGGCCCCATCTCCACTTGGCTAATTCCCCCTGTGGCCCCTCTATTGAACTGTTGTGTTGTCCATTTCCCTGTGACAAGGGCTCTGGTTACAGAGTTATTGATTGGTTTTCATGCAGACAGATGGGCCCTTCCCGGGCTCCCATCGAAATCCCTGGCTGTATGGGCTGATTGTTGCCTCTCGGGGTGTAGGATTGCACTGGAGACCACCCTCCATGCAGCCTCCTTTGCCCAGGCCATGAACGGTAATAAATGGAGGCAGCCTGAACGATAATAAAAGCAATTGAGTAGGTTACCTGTGCAGACACAAGATTTATGCCTCTTCATATTTGATGTGATTGTTTTATTGAGTTCTCAGAACAGTTGGGACACTATTTATTTATTTATTTTGGGTTTTCCCTCTCCTCTCTTTTCTTCTTTGCATCACCTTGTGAAATGCACCTGGAGCTGTTGTCAGGCCCAACGCCTCCTGTCTGCCTCTTCTCGAGAGCCGCCAGCTGAGGTAGGAAGGCAGGGCGACCAGCCATTGCTATCACCAGAAACCCCTTTTGTAGCTTGAACACCCACAGAACCAGCCAATGGGGAGACAGTCAGACCAATAGGACTGAGGGCCAGGAAGCCCAGGCTAAAACAACTACAAAAACAAAAAGAGGCTTTTCAGGAGGACAACTCTAGCTCATTTTAGGGAATGAGAATTTCAACCATCACGCCTGTTTCAAATGTTATTCTGATGATGGTCAACCTCACAGTAGGGGACTGTCTCCGGGAAAGGACAGGTGAGCAAGGCTTCTCCGACAGAAATTGGTGCATTGGTCTGCTATTTGTGGGCCCAATCTGCTAGGTTCAGGCCACAGAAGGTGAGTTCCCTGTCCTTGTTTCTCCCATTCTTGTGTGGATAGAAGTCTTTTTCTTAACTCTCCAACTTGTCCTGTCTGTTTGCCACGAGACCAACAGCCCTAACCACCAAACAGCTGCAAAGGTATAGAGATGCAGCAGGCAGTACCGCCCTCTGGCCCAGTTTCATGCCAAGCCAGGTCCAAAAGTTGAATAGGCAATGTTCTGGAACCTGAGTTTCAGAGAGGGAGAAACAGACTCTAGCCCTGAACATATCTTCAACATTCCCTGGGCTAGGATGAATGGCTCCCAGATTATTTGGAAAGGTCTTTGAACGAACAATTGGTAGACCATTGTCACCCCACTGCCTGACCCAAGGGGAACAATGACCTGAGAATGACTCAAAGACCTGAGAATGACAGAAGAGGGACACCCAAATGACACAGGATGGAATTCCTTAACACAGCCCTAGGTTGCCATTGTTAGAATGAATGTGCTCACCTAGAGCCTAACAGGCTAAGAGAGAGTGTGGATAGTGGGAGATCCATGAGAAGTTGATTCTGGCAGGGTCCACTCCAAAGATCTAGGGGCACAGAGTGTCCTGACTCCAAAGAGTGTTAGGCAAGCTAAAAAAGTTAGAAGGTGACACCCTTATTGTCGGCTTTTCCCAAAAGAGCACCCTCAGGGGATCGTCAGTAACCCTAGACTCTGTTTGGGGTCTGTGCCTGTTCTTTCAAAGGAGCTGTATTCTCTGCCCAGAGTAACAGCCAAACCAGAAGACTTTGGCATATAATCAGGAAAATCCCTCCTGCTTAGACAACTGCTCAGCGATGTAACTAGGTGACTTTTTCCTTTTTCAGTAGCATGGATCTCCCTCCACCTCTCCCCTCTCCAGGCCATTTCCCATACCAGGTTTCAATCTAAAGTCCCCTGTTTATAAACACACGCCCTTTACAGCAGTAGTGTACAAACCAAAGAGCTGGCAACTCCATGCTCAGCCATTGGTAACCCAATATTTAGAAAGATTCAGATAAATTCCACGTGCTAAGGAGCCCAGTCAAGCCTTGGGATTTTTGACAGTGGTCTGTGGGAGTGGGGAGGCATTCCTGACCCAGTCCTCTGGTTCAGAGAGGCATTTCTGAGCATTTGTTAGGGGAAAATACAGGCTGGATGGCCACGCCTTTATCGCAACAGGATCAGCGAATGCCAAAACCATTTTTAAAGAGTGAAAAAGCAATTTAGTTTATAACCATAACAGCATATTTCAAGTGCGGCGACAGCATCTGTTTTGGGGAGGAGAAGTTGAAAAACCTTTGGCTCAGGTGGGTGAGCATGTGTGGACTTCTTTTCTTGCCAACCACCAGCTCATGCACAACTTTACTCATAACTGTTATAAAGCACCTAACACAAGTGGGCAGGTCACTACCAACAAAGCTCTAAACTCAAGAACCACCCATTCCCCGGTGCACCATACTTTCTGCACACAGGAAAATCTCCAAGCGCTTCCTACAGTGAGTGAGAATTCTCGAAACTGATAAAAGGCAAAGTTTCTGATATAACCGGCACTAGCAGAAGCATCCTGTTTTTATCAGGCTTTTGGGTGAAACAACACATCTCAGATAAACCTTCCCTCTTCAGAGCAAAGCACCTACAGGGATGAAGATGACAGCATGGTTCCCCAGGTGGACTTCTCCAGCCCCAACTCAGCAGCACACTGGGAAATCCCCAGAATTCTTTCCAAAATATGAACCATGAGAGGATTCGGGCCTAGAGCAAAATTGAGAATAATTTGCCTGCTCCTTATAGACAAAGCCAGCCGTGAAGCCTAACCGCGGACCCAGGGTGGGCTGCCCGTGTGGTTGGTGGCTTACCTGTTCCTCTCCTCCTACTCCCTCTCCATCTCCAGCAACACCTGCCCACAGATGGCTATTTCTCCACACCCAAAGGAAGCCTGTGTGCCCCTCAGGTGATAGGGCTCTGTGCTGGGTGGGTTCTACAGCTGTCACAGCTGTCAAGCTGAGGCTACTCTTTCTCTACCCTCATCTCACTGGTGGCTCACTTGTCTACTTTGTCCTAATTCTGGTGGGTGCACCTCAAGACCTCTGGAGCTTGATCCTGGGGTCACCTGGCCCTTGCTCTCCATGGCTTTTCAGGATGGAAGCATTTCCAAACTTATGCCTAAGCCAGCTTCTAAAATCATCTCAGCCAATGAGGAGTGCATGTTGTCTGGGGGAGTGGCAGGGGGTGTTGGACAGGGCCACCACACCTGACTTGTTGTGCCACTCCTCTACCCCATTCAAGAGAAACAAATTACCTAAATCCTACATGACTCGGGTTTCTCCAAGGGCTTGCAAATTCTATTACTGACAACAAGCATTTCTCTTAAATGTTCTGCAGAAGACTACTACCCAGTCCCAGCAACACTGCACACAGCAGGACCACTCTTGGCCCTTGGCTGTTCTTCTCTTGAGATCTCAGTTCCAACTCACTCCCAGGACCAGCAGTCAGACAAGAGACTGAGTCTCTACATGGCTCATAAAACATTGCTTTGTCCCCTTCCCCTCCCGAAGTGCCACTCTTGCCTCAGTCCAAAGCTACCCCAGCCTCCTCTCCTGGCTTTTAAAGCAAAGGGCTTATTCCTCTCCCAAACCACCCAGCGTCTTTCTCCAGCTCCTTTGGAAGGTATCTGAATGTCAAATTGCTACGCTTTCAATACCTGGCTGAGCCAGGCCCAGGGAGCTGGAGGGTTTTCGGAGGGTGTATAATTAGCTGATCAGTATTATGTTACCCTGTTCATATCTGAATAACCATTTTAATACAGATGGCACACACTGGGATAATTTCTGGGGTTGCCTCGCAGTACATTACAGCATGAGTGTGGCAGAGGGAATCTTCTTTAGCCAAGGTACATTCTACCAGCTAATTTTACCTGCTGTTTTCAGGATGATTTGGGATAATTCCATATCATTTGCAAAATATTTTTAAAATCCTTGATATGTGATGCCAATTTCAGAATAAGGCACCATCAGAGTTATTAGTTGTCCTGATAATGAGCTTATGAAGAATGCAAAAAATAACAAAGTTATGAAATGCTTAGCCCTCTTTTCATTTTGGGGTGTCTTAATATGGGGGGCCAAGGCTGTCTGGGACTTCCTTCTGACTGGTGTGTGACTTGTGCAGGGACTCTGTGAACAACTGTCAGTTTGTACAGTTCTGCGATCTTGAAACCAGCCCAATGCTGCTTGTATGTTCTGTAGCTACCACAGATAGGCATATTGGCACACTGGCTAGTGTGGACTTGAATGGAGTGTGCACATGTGTTCTCCCCGAGAGCACGCTGGAGGGGTTTGGAGACCAGGAGACCTAAACATCCTATACATCAAGCTGACTCAGCCCTGTGGTGTCCTCATGTGTGTGAGCCTGTAATCAGTGCAAAGACAGCCTGGAGACAGGCACCGTAGGTGGTTGAGGGTACCACCCAAGGTTCAGTCTCAGAGTCTGGAGTTCTCCCTCCCTGCTTGGCACCCCCTTCTTGTCCAGCTCCTCTACTCCCTGCCAGTTGCTGGCTGGTGGTTGGCATTTGTTCTGCAAGCCCGGATCCCAGTGCTTACAGGCCGGAAATTGTGTGGAGCTGGCTAGCAAGACCAGGCTCCTGGGAGGTGAGCTTTGTGGGAACTGGCAGGGAGGGTGGAGGAACCAGGACAAGCGGCTGCCCCTGGGGAAGGAGCAGCCTTTAGAAAGGGCAGTCTGTTTGGCGGGATGAATAGACACTGGTCATTTTAAAGGCTCTGGCTGCAGGCTGTGATTGTCTCTAGATCCCAAGGCTGGATGCTTATAATCTTGGAGTCTTAATTACCACAAACACTTGGATTCATTTCCAGGACGCCTGCGGGAGAAGCCTGGCAGGGAATACCCAGCCCTGAACTGCAGACAGCCCTGTCTGTCTGTCTATCTCTCTGCCTCACAGGTCCCCTTTCCCTGACGGAAGGATTTTGGGCTGGCAGCAGGGAGAAAGGGCAGAGGCTGGACAAAGAGCACAGACTGGGTGTGGGACACCCCTGCAGGCAGGAGCCAGGAACTGGAGTCCAGCCCTGAAAACCCGGGTGCCTTGCTCACCTGTTGATGGAAGAGACGCTGGGCACTGTGTCATTGTCACAGATGCCCTCGGCCAGGAGCCGGTCTCGGATCTCCCAGGCGAACATAGTCGGGTTCTGTCGTTTGTATTCAGCAATCTTGTCCACCACTTTGGGCGTCGCCACTTTGGGCTTGGAGCCACCGATCACACCTGGCTTGATGCTGCCGGTCTCGTAGTACCTGCCCCGGGAAAGCCGGCGGGGTCAGCCAGAAGTGGACGGTGGCGGGTCAGCGGGCTGCGGGTTCCAGAGCTGCTGAGCCACTCTCCCGCCCGCCAAGGCAGCGGAGTGGAGGGAAAAGGCCCAGTGTGACTGAGCTGACTTCCTGAGGGTGCTTAGTTAGGATGAGGAGTGCCGCGGAGTAGGAGGACAAGGGGTACCATCCCTCCGGAGAAACGGCCACACCAGGGGCTGGGTGCGCACCAACACGAATAGGCACCCGTGGGCGTGAAAGCCCAGCCTTTCATTTGGGAAGAGCAAAAGGAACAGCGCTGCAAGGTCTCCGGGAGGCCAGGGCTGAGGCACCACCTGGAGCCCTTCCCTACTGGGCACAGAGCATCTGTGGGAACCAGGACCCTCCTTCTGCCTCCCAAATGCTGCTTTTTCTCCTCTCGGGGACCCATTTTCATCCCCACCCCATTCCTCTAATGTCCCGCACCCAACGTCTGCCTTAACTCCATTAAGAAAGTCATCCTTCCCTTTCTGAAGCTGGAAACCGGGGACCTTCTCACCAGGGACCAAGGGCAGGGCAGGCCCTGGGTGACACTGCTCCACCCTCGCTCCTGGGTCTTCGGCCACCATCTGAATACTTTCTCCAAAACGAACACCTCTCCAGACCCCTTTGAGAATCTCCCTCTCCGGCTTGGCGGGCTGGACTTATGGCCAAGTCCTCCGGCGGAGGCCCAGGGCTGGCCGGGGAAGTAGGCAAGGCGTCTCACGGGACAGCTGCGAAGCCCTCACCTGCCCAGGATTTTGCTGACACAGCCGTGGCTGACCCGCAGCTGCCGGGAGATGTCACAGGGCCGCACACCCTGGTGGGCCAGCTCCACGATGCGCTGCCTCACCACGTCGGGTAGGGGCCGGCCGTTCACAAACACCCCCCCGAGCTGGTTCACACCCCCGTGCCCTGCTGGGGAGAGACAAGAAAAAAACACAACACCCCACACACAGCAGGGACCAGCCATTAGTCAGGGTCCGCAGCCCGGGACGGGCGAAGGAAGCAGGCAGGGCGGAAGGGCATGTTCCCGAACTTGAGAAGAAAGGTGGTGGACCCCCACGACCACGCGGAGGAGTGAGGACTGGAACCCGCCGGCCCTAGAGACGCGGAAGCGCGGACGCTGGGCGGAAGACTGGGGGCTGGGCGAGAGGGCAACTCAGGCCGTGCGACGCAAGGTAGAAAGCGAAGGGGGGACTGGAGAGAAACCAGATGACAGAAAAGAGGGGAGAGGGGGGAAAATGCCAAAGGGGAATTCATGCCAGCGGAAAGAGCGTAAGAAAGAGAGGAGAGGAAGGGCCAGGCAGAGGACTGGACTAGTGCGAAGCAGCATCCCGCCTGCGCCGCAGGCAACCAGGGAGCTGTCCGCGCGTGCCAGGCTTGGAGGCGGACGATTTGGGGGCGTCGGGGCTCGGCTGACTGTTCATCCGAGCTCCAAGCACAGAGAGGGCATAAGTGCCTGACACACACACACACACCCCTTTGCTCTCTGCCTCTTCCCTAAAAAGTATTAAATTGTAATCGGAATTTTTCTATCTCTTTTCCTGTGTTGTTTGTTTTTGATGGGAAGTTTTTCTAATGTTATTTATCTGTAGGGGGACTGTATCTCTCTTTCACCTCCTTAGTATCTAAAGTGGAGCGAGGAAGGCGGATGAGGCAGGCACCCGGGGTCTGCTGCGCTCAGTGACAGGGAGGCGGCCGACAGCGGCTCCAGGCAGAAGGCAGAGAATGCCGGCTGCTTGGGCTCGCTTGCCTGCCGTACCGCGCAGAGCTTGGTTGGGGCCCACCGTCTCGCCCAGGTAGCACGGGATAGGCCGCGCCGGCGGGTTAATAACTATCGGGGCGCCCTGTGTAGCCGGCCCAAACCCGACTCACGTCCCTTTGACCCCTCAGACCTCGGCAGCCTCCCAGGAAACCGAGCGGCTCGGGCGTTTGCTCTCCGGGCAAAGAGAAGGGCACGGGGTTTCCAACCCGGTTCCAGCGCGGGCTCCCGATTTCATAGCCGAGGTGGCCACTGGGTACTAGGCCTGAGGGTGCTTCCTCGTGCCCCATTCTCCCTGGCCTACAGCAGTTTAGAAATCCTGCACCCAGAGCGATCAACCCGCAGCTGCAGTTACTGAGCAATCCAAGCGCAGAGACTTCTAGAGGCCGAGTCGGGTCGGCCCAGGCTGGCAACCTGCAGCCCCTGCCCCGCTAGCCTCACGCGAGTTTCGGAGAAAGCAGGGACATCTGTGCCCCCCTCATTTCCCTCCCGTCCCTTTCTCAGGTAGGGGGTACCTAGAGCAAGCTCGGGTGAAACCCTGGGGAAAGGCCTCTGATCGGGCTGCTGGGAGAGGCTGGCACCTCTTCTTTTACCCCCGTGCCCACCCCGTTAATCTCCCTATCTCTAGCCCCACTCCTCACGCCTCCCCTCCCTCCAAACCCCGACCATCAATAATTTAGGCCCCGGGAGAACTCGCGTTACCGGTATGAAAAGGCGGCAGCTGCGGGCAGATTAAAGATGAATAATTCAGCCTCCCCGGGCTCAGGGCCCGGCCCCTCAGCCCCAATCTAAGGGGTGGGGATGGGAAGGGGACACGGGAGTCCAGGGCTGGGGGACTGCCGCGAGCCGGCGCTGAGTCGGGCCTGGAATGCGCCACTGCCGCCGGCACCGACTCTGGCCGCGGTGTCTCACCAGCCAGTCCACCGGCCGGCGGGCCCGCGCTGCGGCTGTCTCCCTCCGACCACCTTCTGCTTGGCCGGTGCAGAAACCCTTGGGTTTCAAAGTGGCTCCCCGCGGGCAGCCAGGACTCGGCGGATTCCCAGCGGAATCCGCAAAAAAGGAGAACGAGAGCTGTGGCAGCGGGCCGAGAGGCAGGCCGGCTGGGCGAAGACTGCGTGTGGACCCGGTTCCACTCCTCCCGAAAAGGACCGAGGCTTTCCGGCAGGCTCTCTGAGACCCGCAGCGGCCTGATGCCCTCGGCGCGGCTTTCCTGCGCTTGGAAATTACTTAGGAAAATATATTTTATCCCAGGAGTATTTTTAAACGGCCCCCGCCCCCCCCCCCAACGCTAAATATATGCTTAGCGAAAAACACAGCTCTCCCTCCTTGGCTCTCTTGTCCTAAACACAGGTCCAAGCCAGGTCTAAAGTTTCCTTGTGAAAAGTTACAAATTATCCTTAATTATTAATCTGCAGATAGGGAGGAGTTTCTATTTGGAATTTTATCTTTCAAAAAAAAAAAAGCCTGCAAAAAAAAAAAAAATCTCAGAATAGTTTTTCAAGCTAAAGACATGGTATAAATTAAATTCAAATTTTATTAAAATAATTCCTTTTCTCTTATTTTTTTCTCCCCTTCTCCCTTTTCTTCTGTAACATCATTTCAACTTTCTTTCTTTAATTTCTTTTCCCGTGTTTGGATTTCTCTTTTTCTTTCTCCTCAGCTTTGGCATTTGCTTTCCTTTTGTTCTTTCCCCCTCATTTTTTGCTCTTTGCTGACCCCCTGGCCAGGTTGCTGGCTGCACGATCCTCAATGGGGAGTCGGAAGTCTAGGCAAGGAGCCTCCAGAGCTGAGAGCAGAGCTGCACTTTGCCGGGGGCCCACCTGGAAGGCTGCGCTGCTGGCTCTCTCCCTGACTTCGATTTCCTTTTGGAACCCCTCTTTGTTTTTAGAGCATCCCCCAAGCAGAGGCAGGGAAAGATGACCATTCTATCTTGACAACCTGGGATTCCCAATGTGAAGGGAAGGAGAAGGCAAGGGAAGAGGGGTGGGAAAGAAAGGAAAAGGAGGAAAATATTTCCAACCAGCCCACAAGAAGCCTCCGCCGGGCTGGAAGGGCCTGGAGATGCTGAGAGATGAGGGTCAGAAGGGGGCACCCCACCCCCACACTCTTCTGCCCAATTGTCCTGACACTGAGGCTGAACACTATTGGAGTCTCCTGGACCCCACGACTCTTAAGTTTGAGAAAGGTAAAGATGTGGGGAGACAGGAGAGGGAGGCAAACAGAGGAAGAGAGGAAGAGATAAAAGAGAAAACAACAAAACAACACCCTGAAAACTGCCTGTTAATTTGTCCTCCAGCCCAGGGGAAGAGGCTGACTGGGGAAAGGGTGGCTGGAACCAGGGCTCCGAAGCCCTGGAACCATGACCTAAGAAGGAGCGGATGGAAAGAGCAAAGACAGGTGATAGGCACCAGGGAAGGTAGGAAGGCAGGCAGAGAGGTAAGTATGGGTGACAGAAGGCAGGAGAGAAGCTGGAGGCATTAGAAACACCGGGCGAGGGAAAGAGAAAGAACGAAAGGAGGGACTAGGAGAAGCCAGGGAGGCCTCCAAGATGGGACCTGAGCGCGACGCGCCGGGGCCACGCTGAGACTGGACGGGGTTGGGACCGAGAGCCCCAAGCCGGGACAGGAGCCGGGCGCGGGTACTCACGGTGCATCGCGGAGAAGGGGTCTGCTTTGCAGTGCATATCCATGGGGAGGCAGAGGAGTGGGAGCAGCGCGGCCGCCGCCGCCGTGTCGCCTCGCAAACTCAACTTCAGGACTTGAGGAGAAAAGGGAGGGACGGTGGGGGAGGGAGAGTGAGTGAACGCCCGGCTGCTGCGGGGCGCGCGGGGGCGGGGGGCGCAGCACTGCGCTCCCCGCGGGGGCTCCTCCGGGCTGGCCGGAGCTTGCAACCGCAGTAGTCGCAACTTGTCACCGTCGGGGCTCGGGGCTGGGCGGTCAGCAGAGTGGCCCCGGGGCGGTGGGCCGGGCCGGGGGGCACTGGGGGCGCATGGCTCGTGCGGCAGCTGCAGCCAGTGCTGAAGCCCGGAGGGGGAGGCGACTCGCTCAGCTCCCCTGGAACCTGATCATCTGAGAGGCGGTGGTCGGAGAGCGCGCGGGGCGGGGGCGACCAGAGGGCGCCGGGAGGGGAGCCGGGCGTCTCCAAGTGCCGGCGAGTTGGCGAAGTTGGCAGAGAAGTAGCAATCCCGGGGATGTCCGAGCGGGCGCCTGCGGTAGGGGAGCGCACGGGCCGGGCCCCCGCCCCCGGAAAAGGCAGGCGCACGCCGCCGCCGCCGAAGGGCCAGGAGGGAGGGAGGGAGCCGAGTGGCGCTGGCAGCGCTGGGCTGGCCCCAGGTGGGTTGCGGCTGCGAGAAGACTCGGCCGGAGACTGGAGCCTCCGCTCCCGGTGTGTGTCTCTCTAAAAGCTGCAAAGCCCCCTCCAGACCCCCTCCCCCTCCCCGCGCTGGGAGATGGATGACTTGTCAGACAAAGGCAATAGATTCCACCACTCTGTGATTCGCCAGCGCCGGAGCCCGGAGCTTCGGCGAGGAGGGCCCCGCGCCTGTCACTCCGGTGCCGGCAAAGGGGAGGGTAGGGGAGGGGGAAATGGGAGGGAGGGAGCAGCCGGCGAAGGAAGAGGGAGGGAGGGGAGCGGGCCGGGGGAGAGGGAATGGGAGCCCGGGATTAAAACTACGCTGAGAAACGAAACTCGCCGATAAGATAAACGTTAGATAAGGATAAAGAGCGGACAGTCTAATGAATATTCAGGTAACGACAGAGGGCCTTGGAGCGCGCTGCGCTCTGAAGCCGGGCTCTCAGTTCTAACTCGCCCAGCCCTGACATCCACCAGCCAGTGCCCGCCTGGGCCGCGCGGCCCCGGGCCCAGTGCGCATCCCTAGCCCCAATCCCACCACCCTCGGCTCTGAGTTCCCTTCCGTTCCTTCCCAGCTCTTCCTCTCTTTCTGGTCCTTCCCTTTCGCCTTTCCCTCCGGAGGTACCTTCCCACACACGCACCCCCACTTCTCATTCCACGGAAAAGTGTCCAGCAGTTTGTCTTGTCCTCTCCCGTTCCATGCGACTGCGCGCAGGGCCTCTCCAGTCCCCTTGCCCACCGGGTCTGGGCAGTCCAGAACGCTTGGTTCAGAATCTAGCTGAAGACCTCCAGCGAGTACCCACCTGCCTCGGTGGGACTCAGCGGATGGCGGGAGAGCCGGGGGACTCGGTTTCTGAACCCTCGGGTGACTGGGGACGGGGCAAGGGAGGGATACAGTGCGGAGCGGCAGGTCGCTGGCGGCAGAGGATGCGGGAGACGAGGCTGTCTCTCCCCGGCTGGGGAGAAGAGGAGGCTGCGGACGCGGCTGAGCGCCGCCCGCTGCTAGCTCGGCGGATCCCGCGCGAGCGCAGGAGGCGCAACGCACGGGGCCGGCCCCACTCCTGCCGGAGCCTCCGCAGCTCTCTCCAGCACTCGCTCCCTTGCTCGCTGGGATTCGCACCAGGCAGGAGAAGCCCTTTGTCTCCTAACTGGTTAAGTACAGAATATCCGAGAGATCTTTATGAAATATTTTCCCTCGTCTCATAAATCATCTTGGCACTTCAGCTGATGTTTTAACTCTCTCTCCCTCCTTCGCTCCCTCCCCCCGCTTCCCTGGGTCTGCGAAAGGGCGGCTCGGCGAAGCCTGCGCAGCGCTCTTGCAGCCGGGATCCGAGGTTCCTCCAGCTCCTGTCTGCAGCTCCGGGCGCCCCGCAGAAGCGCGGCGGACTCACGCTCCCCTCCCTCTGGCCGGAGCCTGGGCGGCAGATAGGATGGGGAGAGATGCACCTGCCTGACTCAGCCCGACTCAGCCTGACTACTATTACTGGGCGTCTTGTACTGGGTTTTCGGGATGCCCTTATTCCTCAGGAGGAGTTCAGAACAAGCTCAGCGGGACGGGGTTCTGAACCTCACTCCTGTGGGGCCTGGGTCCGCTGGGATCCTGGCATTTGCCTTCCCTCCTGTATCCTCCAGAGCCCAATAAGCTTATTTCCACCTGCGGGGTAGTCTGGGAGGAAAACACTCCTCCCCGTCTGCCCCTCCCAGCCCCCACCCCACTTCCCTCAGGTGGCTAGGCAGGTTGGTTCCCTTGGGCTAGAGGTTGAAGGCGCAGGGCCCAGCCCCTAAGGTCAGTCTCTTCCTCCAGAGGCCTGCAGATGGCGCTCCCGGGTTTGCTTTGGCCTCACAACCCCAGTAACACGCACTAACTTCGCGTAGGGAGCGAAGAAGGAAAACAGTTCCGGCAGCCGAAAGGGAACAGCTACCAGGCCAGAGTGCAAGGGATCTCAGGTGGTATTAGCTAGCACAGCCTTGGATTTCCCCTCTGGGAAGTAATTAACCCAGAACTGGGGTGAAAGGAACATTGAGAAAGGGTTCTTACTTAGAGGAGCTCAGAACTAAAGTAACCTTTGCCCCAGGTCCCTCCAAGTTGGTCATTCAGGAATTTGTCTCAGGGCATCTGAACTGTTGGAGGAACAAAGCTGTGAGTAGAAGCCCCCTTCCACACAGAGACAGATTTTTCTAGAGCCAGCTAGGCATGTGCCTATGTTACAAGTACCATGAAATGTGGGTGCCCACAAGCATGTTCACATGTTGGGTGAGAAGGATTTTCCATTTTGTAGAGAAGGGGACTTAAAGCACCAAGTGTGTTGGAAGTTGTCCTCACACACCTGTCCTTCACAGGCACCCTCTGAGGAGTGAAGATACTTCCGAAAGTCCCACTCCCAGGTAGTCCCTGAGAGTACCCCCTGCTCCTGGGATCCTCTCCCCAGCACTGCACTAGCTGGACACTCACTCTGCCCCCAAGCCGGATCTTGGCCGCTTCCTCCTTAGCTCCAGCCCATTCCTGGGTCTAGAGAGCAATGCTCCCTAGTGATTAGGAACCCCTTTTCTCCAAAGCTCTGCCTTCTCCTAGGGCTCCAGGATGAAGGGCTGGCCTTCATCCAGTCACTGGCCGCTCCTCTGACTCCCTCTTTTCTGTTCTCTTTCTTCTTTAGAGTCTAGTAGAGGGGTGGGGGGAAGGAAGAAAGGAAAAAAGGGAAGAAATAAGAGGAAAGGGGAAAAGAAAGAAAACAACCCAACCCCAAACACTACCCGGGCTTCGACCTGTCAGGGTTGGTTGCTTTTCCCGTCCGCCTCTAAATGAACCTTTTCTCTCTGGTGTTTTCAAAGCGGCCCTTCCACCCCCCAACCTAGGGGCATTTACACTTCAAACAAGGCGCCCGCCTCCCTGCGGAAATTTAAAGGCAAATAAACTTTTGGGGAGTTGCTCTGATACCCATCTCGGGATTTGCTTCATTAGCCGCCTCTGTGCATCTGATCTGCCCAATAAATCTTCCTGGTGGATCTCGGCTCCTTTGCCTTCTCGGCTCTCTTCCCTGCCAGGCTTGCCCAGGCGCCTGGCGGCCCCCACCCTTGCCTCCGCCCTCCAGGCCGAGCTACTGCTGGCCTGGCTGTCTGGCTGGGCCGCGCCTGCTCTGCCTGGGTGTAGGTGTCGGGGTGGCGGATAGGCACCCCGCACCTCGAGTGTACCCACGCACCAGCGCCCCAAGCCAAGCCAAGCACGACTCCCGGGCTCTCAAATGCGTTTCTGGGCATGTTGTGCAAAAGTGAAGTGCTAGTGTAGACCCAGTCCGCTGCCCCGCTGCCACCCACACATGCTCCCTTCCAGAAACCCTTTCTCCCATTTTCCGGTTTCCAGTTCCCTGGCCCCAGCGTTTTCCTCCCAGGCGAGAAAAGGCAGAAGTGTGGTTGCCTCCCCTCCTCTTGCAGGGCCCTGACCCAGGGCCCAGGCGCCCGGCCTCCAACAGCTTGGGAAGGCGGCTGGGCCTTGGTGAGACAGGCGGGGGCTGCAGGAGCATCCCAGCCTCGCCCCTCCCCCGAGGCCGGGAAATGCCTTCTTCCTTCCACTTCCCGGGGAGCGGCTAGGGGAGCTAGGGCCGGGCTCTGAGGAAGGGGATTAGAAATTCCGAAATTAAATGCATCTCCCCAGGAAATGCTCCCCACAGCGCGGACCAAATTAAACGCATTAAAGTTCAGAGGGGAAAAAGCTGTTTAGAACCAAGGGGGGAAAACTAGTCCGAAGGGAAGAGAAGCAGAAAGGAAGGAGGGGAGAGAGGGAGAGCAGAGCTGCAGCTCCGCAGCCGAGCTTCATTTCTGGATTATTCCCACTTTTGGAAGTCACCACCAAAAAGAAAAATAAAAGTTATTCTGGCAGCCGAACTCCAGAGCCTGCCACCGAGGCTCACTCACCCTCTGGGTCCCGGCGCACCCCAGGGCGCATACCCTCGGCTGTCAGATCCCAGGCAGCCAAAACTTACACCCCAGCCCCTTCCGCAGAGGGGCCTGACCGGCTCCTGCCCGGCCTTTCCCCCTCCTCCTCCCCATTCTCTCCCCGCCCTTCCCCCTGCCTGGCCCTCTGGTCACGTTGGAGGATGGTTGTTTTTTTTTTTTTTTTTGGAAGAGCTTCTGGTACAATATGGAGCACCATGGGCTGCAATTTCACACTCCACAGCACATTCCCCCTTAAGCTACTTTCTTTTTTTTTTCATCTAAGACCCCCTAATTTCTGCTTCCTCGCTCCCTCCCTCCCTCCTGCTCTCACTCTTCTTTTCCTGCTTTTGTTCCCAATATTTGGGCTCCCTGCGTGAAGCCCGGGGGGCCTGACTCCCAGCTGGCCCCGCCCGCTCGGTCTGTTGGTCCTGTGGAGTCCAGGCGCACGTGCTGGGCCTTTATCCTCCAGGGCCCCTCCCCCTTTAATCTAGCTTCCC